TTTTAATTTTATATCTCAATGGGTATATTCTGTTTACGTATTCACTTCACATTTATACTGAGCTCCTTAATCTCATAATTACTCAATATTTATTCTTATGTAATGAGCTGATATAATGAACTTATTATGTTGTCTCATCATTGGGTTTAATTTTGAATACCCCAAGTCTTTGATCAGTTACTATCTTTAAAGATAAAATTCAAATAAATTGTTAGGTTGATCAATCACCATTTATTTATTGAGATCGCGAACCGGTCAATATTAGACTATCTGTGAAAACCTGCAAGCGCTAGATGGTCGTTTCGTCCTAGTATGCGACTCCTCAACAGTGCGCATCCACGATCTCACACATGAGGCTCCAACCAAGGACCTCAACCTCACGCGAACGCCTAACCTCTCGACCACTGAGTCGGCATTCAACGATGTCAATGTCTAACTTTAACCAACCCAATATCGCAATATCATGGATTGATCGAAGTTAGTTTTTCACCGTATTTCAACTAAAGCACCCTAACACATTATTTTGCTTCGACAATATTGTGATATTCTTTGATCCATATGATCTAATTTTCAAGTCTTTCGTTTCCATTCGGAATAATATAGACTTAAACTCAAACATGAGTTAGTCTTTATAATTACTTTGAAATAACTGACATTGTTACGAAGTGTTATTCATTTTTAATGAGATCAGGTTTCCTGTGCATAACAGTCTACCACTAAAAATCTCACTTTTTTTCTAAATAGTATCCGTACAAATGTTAAAAAATGACTAATCCGTTTATTTATAAGTAACAAACAGATCATTTTGTCGACAATAATTTCCTTTAACAACACCTTGGTTATCGACATCTATTCATTTATTTTGGTTGTTTATTGATTCCTGAACTTACTACAAACTTTTTATCATTTTCTTAGTGCTAAATATTATTGGTTTTGTCTTAATGTGTTTATTAATTGTTGAATGGTCTGAGTCCTGAGTTGCTAGATATTTTTACCTTCCTTTATATTAGCTTTAAAATAAGGTTCGCTTTGTAGTTTCTTCATCTCTAGAACTCAAATACAATTCTTTTCATTATCATATCCAGCACTTCTGATGATCTACTCCAAAAAATTTATTCTTACAGACTAGAAAAATAACTGGTTATGGGTTGAAATGGAAAAGACCATAAGGTTCTGTACTGGATGGTTTACACATTTCTAAATAAATGAAAGGAAGATAACAAAATAGCCATTCAGTAAACTTTTGTATTTTATTCTTGAACTTATATTAGATTGTAATGAACACAAAATAGATATTAAAATGATTGTTATGCATTTATTGAATAAATTGCTAATGTTCATACTGATATCAAATATATGTATCATTGGAAACTACGAAACACTGGATAGTTGTTTCTTTTTAGTACAGGATTCAGCAAAGCACAACAAAAATTCTACCTAGGACACTTAGGCCTCATGATGAGTGCCTAACTTTGTGATCATCAAGTTACCATAAAACGGTATACATTCCTAACTTGGATCAAGTAGATACCTATTCAATAATTGTTACTACTCAACTTATCATTAATCATGTATCATTACCAAGGTTTGATTTGATAATTTCGAATAAATTGAGCATTGGATAGATTGTTATAAATAAATAAATAATATATTTGTAATACCCCAACGAGTAGAAAAATTAAACTTTCTGACGTTTCGTGATTTAGTGTAAGTCACTTCTTCAGAAAATAAGTAACCAAATCTTGGTACTCTTAAATTTTACGCATCAAATGCTTTCATATCATATTACATAACAAGACATAAATCTTTTTTTTCTGATAATGAAAAGAAAAAAAGTCAAGTGACAAGTATTTTTTGAACCATGTAAACAAATAAGTACTACTAAATATTAATAAACTTATATGTAAATATACACAATAGTCCATAAAAATAATTCAGTTTAATATACCGCCTATTTCTTTTATATTGTTAATGATTTATCCGATAATGTACTTTAAGGGGAAAAAATAAACCTCTTTTTTTAAAAAAATGGAAAAACAAAACTTCTCTAGAATAAGTAATTTTTCATTTCAGATTAGTTTCTTTAGTTTGTATTATTTTATCAATAATTATTTTGACTAAATGGAAAATTGTACTTCATGCAAATCCAATATAGTTTAGGTGAGACTATAATTTATGGATGACCTTTAAGCGGTGCTGAAGTGACCTTGAGAGTGTCCACCAAATGGCGGTTATAAACCAGTGTGAGGAATTAGAATTATGATTTACAGTTGATGGTTAGTGCTAGAAATTATATTTAGGGTCTTCATCACGAACTGACATCAGCTATAATGCCAAAACTCAATGTATCCAAATGGAAGAATGAATATAGCGCCCAAATCCCAGACCAGTTATCTCTTACCTGATTGGCTCGTCCATAAATTATAGTCTCGACAAAGTCTAATGTTTATTATTGTCTGTACATAATTACAACCACTTCTGTAGTTCCCATTCATGACTGATTATAAATTCAATCTTAAATAATGTTAATACTATTTATGATTTATCTCTATAATAATGGACAAAATTATTGGCATAATTCGCTTATATTAAGTGGATACATTACTTAATGATATTATTATATAAAAGGAAGTGTTTAGGTAAATCAAGAAAAAATTTATTTGTCTAAAAATATTACGCCTTTGGGCGAGATTAGTTAAACAATATTTATCGTTACCTATCTGAATATAGAAAAAAAGCTTTAAAATAGTTAATATGTGTTTTCCAATGATAATTAATGGATGATAAGATATTGATTAATAAGCGGTACGTTTGATCTTTGCGTTACAATAAATACGGCTTCTGATATAAAAGTATATGGTTATTTTTTAGTCCTGGTACATGGCATATACATAGACATTAGGATTACCATTAATATTAAAATGGATGGCCTATCGAAAAAACGAGCCCGGAAGAGTCCTGATACTTCGAGTAAAAACAACTCTGTTATAAACTTTATGCCATGCCAGTTAAACTACCTTTGCAACAGACTATGTTAGGATCGTACTTACACCACATATGCTCAGTATCTAGTTTACTAACGAGCTCCACATAAAGATCCATTAGCATAGGAAATATATGGGGCGAAATAGATAGTATTTGTGAGCAATTAAGTGATATGAATTCTAAAATGGAGTCACCTTCAGACTCTTTTAGTCTAATTTTAGTCCATGTATTATAAACGTAGATTGTCAGAAAATGACATTCCCTAATAAAGAACATAATTTTCAGCTAAGCAAACCAACTGACTGAATATTAATGTAGAGCTTTTATTGAATACATAATGACAAAAACACTAAATGGTGAATAGATTAGACGTTTCAAGCAGTATGTTCCTGTATGATTAAATCGTGAAAGTAAAAAAATGTTAGAAAGAAGCTTCCTCTGTTGAGTCTTTCAATAGCCATGTATGGCCTTGATGGTTTGAATAAAGTTTGGAGATGATTTTCTGTCGGATTGATTTCGAGAACCTAAACAATGAATGCAGTTTAGCGAACATTGTACACTTCACCATGATACTTTTTAACACTTCCCCATTCAAATAATTGAAGCAAGTCGTCAAACGGAATTTAAGCTTCAGTCATTTCTAATTTTCATAAACTTTATGACGAGTAGTTTATTTAAGCTTACAGTATATGGAACGAGTGCTCTCATTATCTTTTGGGTATTACTTTTGTTTAATTTTCAACAATAATGAAAATATATAATGATTCCTGTCGAACAGCCTACACATTCATCAAATTGTCGAAATCTTGGTCAAAATAAGAATGACTTGAGTGGAAATAAAACCGGAGTTGTTAGGAGAGTAGAAACATGTAAAGAAAAGCAGTTTTAAAACATCTTTTATCTATGTAGGGCTTGTGTAAAAATTTAACAACTCCAAGGTACACATAACTGGCTTCAAAATAGACTCACCAAAGTTCTTATAAGAGCAGGTTACCTATGGAGACAAAAATGTCTAATTTAAGGTGGTCACATCATTGCATAGTAGATTATCTACATTCGTTACAACTGTAATAATAAATAAAACAATCTTTTAATATACCATTTAGTGGCCCAATGTCTGACCCCAGTTATATCAAATGATGATTACTACTAAAAGATACATCCTGGCTACCGTTGTATAGAATTACCCACTTAAATCACGTTGGTTAATAATGCGATTAAATAATTCAAATACGAGGATGGACTTCCAGTACGTGTCATACACTAATCAATTCAGAAAGACAATCAGAGAAACTGAACGAAATTACGCGCGTTGGAGAATGCGAATGATCAAACTCGTTTTGATAAAGCGTGACTCAATATTTATATTCAAACAAAATAAGTTGCAAACACATAATGAATAGGCTGAGCAATTAAAGACATACGATCATATAAAAATTCAAGGTTAATAAGTGAATTATTGAAGATGTCAAAATATGGCTTGAGAAGAATGAATAAATTGGTTTGGCCAGAAGCTAAAATAACCTATTTGTGCTTGACATAGTACCAGCCATTACAAGCTTTATCATATACACACATAAATGAAATACATTATTTTAATCACTGATATCAGTCGACAGTATACATCAGTCATTCTAAGACGGTCTAATAGATAGTGATTTGTAGCGACTCCAAACATTTCTAATAAATTAAACGTTCAACCATTAGATCCTTCAGCTATCTCTGAAGCACCATTAATTTGGCATGAAATTATTTCTTCTTCATTACATATTTGTGAGTCAGCCAATCATATGGCATAGTGGAAATCGATACACATTACTACATGATACTGATGAAACGCCCCCTACCCATTCAGTATGGGTAATGTGTAACTATGTGTAATTATTGAAAATTATATTACGACTAGATATGAATACAGAGTGAAATTTTTTGTCTTTTTTTAAATACAAAATTACACATTGATAATAAAGTTTCAGTTCATTTTCTGAACTTTAAACATTCCAAAAATTTATGGTTTATAATAAACTGGTGGTTATAGCACAACAATTTGAAACAAGATATGGTAAAGTTTGTGGTAAAACGGCCCATTCATTTGTTTTTAAATTGTAAGTTTGAATTAAATTTGATGGTTCCATATTGTTACGACCACCAATTAAAAAGATATAATCATTCCATATACGTGTAGCTAGTTATTCAACGGAAAAGAAAACATTAAATATAAATCCTTAAGTTTTAAGATTTAATTCTATTGATGAAGCTTTGTTCTCTGAAGTGTATGGTTTGGTCGTGGAGCTTTCATTGTTTTTCTGAACGACATTATCAGCACAAACTTCAGGCTTTTACCTGAAGCTCCACGACCGGATCATCTAGCTCAGAGAACAAAACTCCACCTGAACAACAAGTCTCCAGTACTTAATTTGACATTTAAAAAATTAGGAAACCTTGTAGACAGAATACTAATTGTTGATATAAACTTAACTGTTATAATCTGTCGTTTATGATTAATTTGTCAAACTAAACAGTGATAAATCTAATTTGAGGCTTTTCTTCAATCATCTCTCTACAAAAGTAGAAAAATAAGTTTTTTTTAATCTGCTTGTTGTTAATATTCCCTGTTCTTGAGATAAACTGAATACAAAATCGTTCAAGGTCATAGGCACGTGCTGATGATCAGTAGCAAGTTAAGACGAAATATCCCTTTCAATTCGCCTTGATTTTCAATGGTTCTTAAGCTCAGATCAGTCTGTTATCTTCAATGTGAAATGACCACTATGAAGCTCCAAACTATATTAATACATATGAAAGATTAGACATTATTGTTTAGAATATCCAGGTCACCCATAGTTAATCATTACATTTTATAAAATTCCTCATTTTAGGATTTTTCTCATTAAAGACTATTTCTAATTCAGTTTATATGATAAAACAATTTATATCAGGCTTGTTTGTCGACCGATCGTTATTATATAAGAAACAGTTTATTTTATAATTTGATTAAAAGCAAATGTAACTGATTAAAATGAATCGAGTTTAATTCACTCGGTCTCATCTGACGACTTTCATCCTAAATAAGGCATAGTTACGAATGTTTTTCTAGACAATAAATACAAATAATGATATGCCATAAAAGATTTTTGATTTCAGTACAACGACCTAAAAACCTAGTACTCCTACAGTTAGCAACTGTTGAGCATTATTTTTCAGTGTAAAACTTATGCGTTTTTAAAGAACAAATTGTATTTTATTCAATGAGATATTAGATTAATATTAATTGACAGTAAAAATATATTACCAGCAAATGCCCGATGTAAAATCATTGGTTTGCCTTTACTCCAAATTGTAGTTTTCAATGAAAATATATCTGTGGTATTTACACAACCAGTTTCATTAGCTCCACCGCATACGTATACACAATCATTATGAATAAATACACTTGAAGCTTCACGCCTAAAATGCATGGAAACAAGAATAACAGTAAGTATTGATGATGATGATGATGATGTTGTAAACTACAAAATTTGTTAATCTCTGCATACCTTAACTTGAATGAATTATATACAGTATTTGTTAGATACAAGAGTTATTTTCGCTACATAACGACGAGAAATAAAAACAAAAAAATGTGTCTCAAGCATTGTAAACAAATATGTATGGTGGCTAGCAGTGAAATCTAGGATGCGCGTTTCGCCATATTCGGTACTCGTCAGCCGGATGTTGATGTCCATTCTGAGACTGGAACCCAGTACCATTCGCTTCAAATGTCATCGCGTTTGTTGTGAAAACTTCTGGAATTTAAACATATACAGCTACATGGACTCGGGACGCAACTAAAATGCTGTATAAATTCCTACAAATCTCAATATAATGAAATAATTTCACATCAGTATATAAACATTGATATTGAAACAGTCACAAGTCAATTTATATTGCTTATCTTACTTGTGGACAATACTTCATTCTGAGCTCAATGATTGATCTAATTTTATATTTTGTTTAATTTCGGTCTGCAAGTCACGTGTAGATATGTGTGATGTTACAATAAAAGATAATTCATACGTAATCATGAATTGACCGCAAGATAATAAATTAAACCTTAATAGTGTTGTATGTTACGAAATCTTTATAAACAACTACTGTTTAACTATCACTTCATTCATCACGTAAGCAACATGTATTATCTATAATCCATAATAATTATGATACAGCCTATAAACTGACCGATAAATATACTATTAAATTTATGGTTGTCCTAGAAAACTATAACGATCCTATAATCATTCCGACATTCATCAAAACCTGAAGTAATTTCCATATGATATTTTGTATTACATCTATCTCTTCAGCACCAATCACTTATTTTAGTGAATCATCTATTAATCAATAATCAATATGAAATGCAGCCCAATCAGAAATATTAATATTTTGAACAATTACTTCCCATTAAGATTGAACTATGTTTTAGTGCCTATTTAGTATAGTATGGCATAAGTAAATGAATCTCGAAGAAAATGACAGATAGATTACAAAATTTTCATGAGCACATATAGTATCACTATAATTATGATTTCAAACAGGCGTTAAATTATTTATTTATTACAAAACACCTTTTATTTATATTAGGGATTGTTCATTAGAATTATATCACGATGATAAGATTGTTTCAATTTTACCTAGAAACATAATCATCATATCTCTTTACTGTTTTCGTTTAACCAATTGCTAACTCTGCTAAAAACCTTCATGACATAATGACGGTGTTGAGACAATCCTCTTAGGATATACTTATGCCAAGAGAGACTGATCATTTACAGTTCTTAATATCAATGATGGGAAGATTAAAGCACCCTTGATAACTGACTTAAAGTTTATCGCTGCTGCACAAGCCAATGGCTGGTGAAATTCAGTATTTGGAGTTTAAAGTGAGAGTAACTGGATACGGGTCCTTGTGTAAACATCAACACGGGCTCAAAGATATTTGGTTGACGAGTTTCAAATAGAACAAAACAAGCATCCTAGACCTCATTATCCAACTCGGTTTAAGATTTCTAATTGTTGCATATATATGCTTGCTAAACTTAAGGATTGAAACAATATAAAACATTTTCTTAATTATTCATGTTTAAATAATGCTTACAAGAACGAATGACTTTTGATCTAATTTGACTTTAATTTTACACGCTGCCCTTGGTTGTAAAAATTCCAATTTTTTATCTTATATTCTTTCGTACACTTGAATTACCAAACACACATTTATCTTAATAAAATAGGTTTTAACCAAACTGTCCGCCAAAATTAAAATAGATTGAGAACAACATGACTTTCATTTAATATTAATAATTAGACGTTTGATATAAAAGATTGATAAATACTCTACCATTCCTGTGAGCCTTAGGTTTACTAATTGCATAGGTTATGGGTCAATACAGCTGAGAGATTAAAATAATCTAAAAGGAATTAACTTATCAGTTCTCTTTAGTTATTTTTCAACTGTTTTGCAGCTCATACCAAACTACAGACGAGATTCATTTTCGTAAACTTCGATGAAGAAAACGTACTTCTTGTCATATAAGACTCTCAATTCAGAGAATAGTTGTAAACTATAAGTCTATATTTTTAGAATTTATGGTTTTTGTCTGATGCAATATGAAAACAAGATTAGACTTTGGTTACTTACGAAAGTCTAAAAGTAGTAAGATAGGTCAAAAATAATATTTTATCGAAATCATGAATAGATCAATGTTAGATCACCACTAAAAACCTGGAGGCACTGGACGACCGTTTTGTCCTAGTGTGGGATTCACCAGCAGTACCTATCCACGACCCTGCACTCGAGATTCAGACCCAAGACCTTTGACCTCGCTGATTACCGAGTCGGTATTCAGTGGTATTTATATCTTGAGGTTAAGCGAAGACGTGAAAGCCGAGGTCTTAGGTTTGAGTTTCGAGTACGGAATCGTGGATGCGCACTGCTGTGGAGTCCCATACGAGGACGAAATGGTCGTTCAATGCTTCCATGTTTTCAATGGTGGTCTAACATTAGAATTAAATTCAGTAATCTCCACAACCCCAAACAGAAAAATAATACTGATAATACCTTATTAGTACTTTTTCAGTTTATGGAGACCAATGTACAGGAAATGTGAGAATACATAGGAATCTTTCCAACTGAGTCGTTTAATACGTATATTTCTGACTACCTACCCATTTTATGATTAATAAATGTAACATCTCATATGTTATTCAGTGAATTAAGAGAGAATACTTTGTCTTATGACAGTTATCAAATGACCTGACAAACTTCATATCTATTGATGATGATTTTATCATCCAACTACTTGAATTTGTAAGCACCCATTTCATCAGTCGACAACTTTTGTGCAAACCATTAATTATCTAGATGACTAACAGATTGACTGTATTTAAAAAGAACAAAATGTTATCATCTGGACAGTATTGTGAAGTAAATATCTAAGTCCAATACAATACATCATATACTTATTTCCAAGTGAATTATGTTTTGATCAAGTTTCTGTTTTAAAAATATGGTTTCCTAAGGTTCATATCCAAACAGAGTGTTTCTTTGAGTGAATATACAGTACGTCCTTTACGGACATTATCGAATTATTATGGATTTCAGCTTAAAAGAATAATAACTTTCTCACATTTAGAACGGTAAAAGATGACATTAAACTACAGTAAATGATTAATTTGTGGTGAAAAACGATGATTTGTAATGATTCTCATTCTTCATCAAATGAACATATACATAGTTAATGGGAATTTATTCTGCACCACCATAATCAAAATATATTGCACTGTTGAAGCAATCATGTTTGGGGTTATGTCTTTTAGGTTGAATTATAAAACTCGGGAAAGATTGTTAGCATTACTGTGTTAATATATTTCATTACAAATAACTTTGCAGATTGAAATCAATTTACGGCTATAGGCAACATCTCTGTATTCACACACCATGTCCACGTGTTAACAGATATCGATAAGATGTATTCCTGAAAATCAACAGAGAAAATGCTTACCCTTAAATATGATAATGAACTATGTTAGGTGATTTCCTAACTCTAGACACACTGGAGCTTTAGACTTTCTAAAGAGAAAGCTTGACTGATGGGGTTCAACCAAGTCGGGAGTGAAACAACTATCTCCAACACCATAACTAGCCTTACACGACTAATTAACTAGGCTAAAAAATTGTGTATTAGGTTCCACCTTACAGAACTGGGAATAAATTATGAAATTCTGTTCCAGATGCATGTGATCCTGTGGAGTTTTCTGCTCTCAAAAGTTTAGTAGTTTGGCGGCTGGTATCGTTATAAACCTAAAGCGTTCTCCAGCTTTAACTTACCACTAAAGACAACCCGAAGAACAATATGATGATTAGAAAAATAAAGTAAGCTACCACTTCAGAGATCTACTGTAATAACTCCACAATGAAACAATTTGAAAAAACTTTGTTCATCTTACTTTGGTGTAATAAGACTTGTGTTAACAAAATGATCGTGAATACTTACACTTCAGTCATTTTCGCTAAAAACTGCCATTTTCCTGACGTAATATCATACATCTCGATAGTTGAATCGCTGACCCCACCAACAACTATAATTTCATTATTGGTAGAGCAAACGCTACAACCAAATCGTGGTCTCAACATTGACGAACATGATTCCCACTTATTTACTCGTGGGTCCAACATCTCAACGGATGATAAATTTTGATCTGTAAAGATAAAAAGAAACAAATGAATCAAAATGCCGGCAATGATCGTTTTGAATTTCTAGTCAGGATTGTACTCAACTGGTCGATTTAAAACGGTGGTAGAGAAATGTACTGTGACCTAACTGAACAACATGTGTAGTTAATACTATAGATTGATTTTAGCTAGACAATCATATAGAATCATGAGACATTGGAGAGTGGTTCCTTCTTAAATTAAAACTTATCACCATTTTGCACACAAAACCCCATAAGGAATCAAATCTATGACTTTCAGGCCTTGTAGAGATCATGTTACTCCTATACTATGAAGTCTATACCTCGAGCTTTATACTTCAAACTTAATTGAATTCAAGATGTTGTTCGAACATCACCCACCTCTATTAATAATATCTGTCTGAAACTCAAATCGTTAGGTAATATTTAGAAACCTACATAGTTAATTTTAACAGCTACATACATCCTTATTCACTTAAATTATTAAAAAAACGCTTACCGTCTTCTCCGACACCTCCTATAGCATACATCACACCATTACATTCCGTAATTGAATACCAACTTCGTCCAATATTTAAATTTGGTCCACTAGACCATAAACCTAATGAAATATCGTAAATATTAGATGTTTTCATTGAACATTTGGGTTTTCCACCAACAAGATATATTTTATCAATTAAATTGACAGCCCCAAAACCTTTTCTTAAAGAAGGCATAGTTTTTAAATTTGGTAAAATTATTTGTTTTAAATAAGGAAATGTACATGATTCCATATAATTATTATTTGAATAATTTTCACCAATATTATAATTTTGATATGGATCCATGCATAAATTTTCATTCTGATTAATAAATGATTTCATTTCAAAATTTTATAACATGTTATATTTGATGAGAAACTTTTGTTACATAATCGTCCTCCAAAGCATATCAAAGATGTCTGAAGTAACAAGAAATATTTCTTTTTAAAAACAACATAACATCAGAAGGGTTTTTTGTGGATATTATGATAATTTCAATGGTTGAGATCATGAGTCAGTTGAAGCTAGACCACCATGGAAAACAATAGGACGAAACGGACGTCCAGTGCTTCCAGGTTTTCCATTGTGGTCTAGCTTCAATTGATTCATGATCTCAACCATCGAAAAGAAATAACAATTAATGCAGAATACTGTTAATAATTATCTACCGATAAAATTCTCAAATGGATACCATGATGACGACGATGATGGTGTTGAGTCCTTCAAATTGAATGACTTTTGCCATGCTTCAAATGGTTAAGAATTGTTAAGGTCCTGTACCCAATAGACTTGATGCTCTTTATTCTCTTCTTTTCCGTACCTCATTTGTAGTGCACAGCTATGGAGATTCTTACGCCCGATACACAAACCTTACGTACGTGTTCTTCATGGTCACAACTTATACTAAGTGCCTTTCAATCATTACTTTATAATAACTGTAAACTTATCAAACAGTTCTACTATACAAATAATTTTCAAGTAAACCTCCTTGAATACTATCCTGTAAATCATTGCTGATTTGTGAATGTTACAACTTAACAACTCTGTTGGGCATCCACTCTATCTGTAAACACTTATTGGAAACCTCATCATACTTGTAAAAATGGTGTGTGCCCGCTTTGTCGGAAATATATTATAATTATTCATCGGGAAGTCGTCATTGTTTTTCTACATCACTTCAAAAGTGCTTATTTTAGGATTCTTTCATTTGTACTAATTTATAGCGATCCGAATTCAATTTTACTTTTGCCCACAAAACACATTTAAATTAACACATTTTTAACAGTTCCGTTTATCTTCTAACGAATTCTGATCGAAATACAACTGAATTTTAATCAATTTATTTAATTGCATAAGAAACGTCTTGTGATGACAGACTAATTCATTTATGTCTTGGTCATAACGATCTTATGAATTTAGAATTGAATACTTTATAAGTCATGAATTAACATGTTTGATTATTCGATTTGGTTGAGTTATAGTCAGTTACTCCGGGAACATATCTGTTGACAACTGTTACTCATTGTTAAAGTCTAATAACTATGTTATATTCCTAAGAACATAATTGGAAATACAACGAATCAGGTGATTTGATTAACTTTCATTTATTAACCCTATAATAAGTTATCTATATGTTTAAACAAAACTTCGTTAAACAATAATAATAAATAGAATAACTAAATTGGAAGTAAATGCCTTAAATACTTTGAATACTTAAAGAAAAACAAAATGGCTTGGTCAGTATTAGAATGTTAAAATGTACTCAAAAATGACTTACATTTTCTGTAGTTTGTTTTGGCGAGTCACTATTCAAATCGCATACCGGTAAATTAGTCAATGTCAACTCTTTGTCTATAGAATGATTTGACTGAAAAAATATGTATAATGTAAACTATAACAAAAGTCATTCATATGTATCTAAGTAGATTCTTACTTGAATAGATGTTATATTGATTTAATTTACTTTTCATGTCAAAGTAACATCATTTGAAGATCTTTTAGTAACATAATAATATTGAGACATAAGAAAAATTGGTTCTGTGAAGAGTTCTTTTCTCGGAGAATTCGTGTTCAGAAGCTGTACAATCGCAAATATATACTTCTGTTTCAAAATGATAATAATTACAGTAATAATGATAATAAATTTCTATTGAACATGGTAACAGTGAGTTAGAATAAACAAAGGCATTAAAATGTTATAGAGGTCTCTATAGACCTTTTACCCACAAATGGTTTATTTCTGTGTCTATGATTCGCATGATTACAGTTCATCTCAATTTCAACAGATTATCTTGTCATGCTTAGCCTTCCCTTCCCAGTTAGAATTTATTTATTTATCTTCATGAAGAATATTCAAGCACTCAACAACAAAATTATTATTGGTTTCTTTGATAAAAAAACGTTATATTACTTTTGTTTATTCTACCTCACTGTTACCATGTTTAATAAAACTTTATTGTCGCTAATACTGTAATTATTATCATTTTGAAACAGAAGTATATATTTGCGATTGTACAGCATTTGAACACGAATTCTCCGGGAAGAGAACACTTCACCGAATCAATCTTTCCTATTTTACGTTTCAACGGGTATATTCCATTTGCTTAATGATAACATTGAACAATAGTTTCACCCTAGTTTATGACCATTTAAAAATGAACACTCATAACCTCACATAGACTCAGACTTACAGAATTAACCAGTTAGTATCGAGTGGTTTACAATTGTCATCTTCTGATGGTTCGTGATATAATGCGCTTCTCAACCAATATGATAGGTGGATGGCTGGATCACTTCAAACCTGACTAATCACTACTATATATTTGAACCATCGGATAACACTTCACTGGACGAATGATCTAAGACTGGCCGTTAAACTTCAAAGTCCTGATTTAATTACAAAACAGTTAGACTTATGAGATGAAAAACATTCTCCAACGATGGTATTAGCAAATATAATTATCCTCATTGATATTTAAAATCTTAAAGATTAGTGAGTTTTTAATGTTTTATACTAAAGTTTGACTTTAGTTAGACAACCAATTGAAAACAAGAAACATTGGACATCTTTTTTTGTTTTAACGGTGCTCATTCGCCCCCAAACATCTATTGGTCTTGGTATCTTTATTTCTCATGGATAATGCCTTTTAAAATTTTGGTAGTATTTTGATCACAACTCTTATTACATTACACTGTTCCTAACTTACAGGAACTTACAAATAAACTTTGATAGAATTTTTCACAAGTGTTTTGCTGACATTGTTTGAATAAGTAAACTTGTTGCTAATGAATTTTCCATAATAGCAATGAACAGTTCACTATATACAAACATTTTACTTAAATGAATATTATGTAATCTTGATTATTATATATATCTGATAGCACTGAAGTGCTGTGCGAAAATGCCAACTCCATTGAAATATGAAGATTTGCTTAATATTGCCTATTCAAAAAGAAAAACTAATTGAATATTGCAAGAAGTTTAAAATACACATTGATAATTTTGTCTTACTAACTTACTTTACGATTCCATTTGGCTATTGCTACTGACCTTGATAACTGACCTAAATCAATAAGCGCGTTTTTTATATATGAATGAAAAATATTCATCTCTTGATTTTCTAATATATCAAGTAACTTCATTGTGTCTATCAATTGAAAACGTATATGCTCACACAGTTGTTCTTTATATGTGTGACGATTGTCATAATCCTTTTTAATCCACATATGTATAAATTCCAGAAGTTTCCATTCATCTTGAACTTTGAAGTCATCTTGTTCTAGTATTGCTAATAGTTCTTTAGGTTCAATGTTCATAGTCTCATTGTTATCTAACATTTTGCTTCAAAGATAAAAAAAAAGAAAAAGAAAGGAGACAGTGAATACGATGAAGGTAAATAACTTTACGTAGAAGTATTTTATTTTAAAGAACACTTCATAAAAAGCCAAAAACTTTATGCAAAACCAGTCTACGATGAAATGTAAAAACTTATTTTGTTACATAAGTAGACTAAAGTAATCGAGTTTTATTCCTCACTAACATAATTAATTATTTTTGGTCAAATAAAAATTTTCGACAAAATGATGCAACTGTATGAATTAATCTGAAGAAAGTATTGGAATATTATGATTTAACACAAAGTTGCTAATAGATTTCAGCTTGGTTTTTATAATAAATGAGAAGTGAGCGATTAGAAGTTTCATCCTTGACTGTAACTACTCAACTAGCCTATTTATAGAATTCGTCCAAATCTACTAACTTTGTTAAGTAACAGGAACTTTAGATAACCATCAGAACAAGTCTGAACATTCATGTATCAAATGAAATTTATTTTGAACTTGTCTTTAATATAGTCTTACCCATGATTATTTTCATTTTACTAAGTGTATACTTAAAAGTGTATCCATCTGCTCTTATCCCTTTAAATTTTATTAATAGCCATATCCATTATGACTTTTTTTCAATCCTTCTAACGCCTTAATTATTATAATACGAACTTTTCAGTTATCTTACTTTATTCACATTATAATTTGATCGTGGATGCGCTCTGCTGAGGAGTCCCACAGTAGGACGAAACAACCGTCCAGTGCTTCCAGGTCTTTCATGGTGGTCTAGCTTCAAATGATTTGTGATCTAAACTATGATAATAATATACTATAATATCCACAAAACCCCTTCTGATATTTAACTAGTTAGTTCTAGACTCCTTCCTTCACTCATAATCTTGTGTTATTTATTATCATCTGAATTATATAACATAGTATCAGGATTTGTTATACGCTTATTGATTGTCTGTATTTCCTTACATAATCCAGCCTTATACATATATCTGCTAACCGAATACACAAATTGTGGACTTCAGACTTGTTTTTGCTATAAACATAGAAATCAAATATGTGACTACATATTCATTTGAACTTAGCAAATTCTACATTAAAATAAATAACAGTTTAATGAGTATGGTCAAAATTATACTTTCTTTCTTTTCAATTAAATACAAACTATTGATTTTAGTTTCAATTAACCTCCATATAGCAAATGGCTAAGTGACTAAATAAACTCAGTATCACAAATTATCAAAATAAAATATCATAAAAATCAATAGTGTTTTTCATTTGTTTTTTTTCTCTACGTATAATTTACATATTTTCTCAGGTTTTTCTTTGTTTTCATAGAACCAGTAAGTAATAAGTAATTGTTAATTTACGAACATAATTCAAGAATTAACTGTAAGTTTTATCATTTATTGATTTAATTTTTGAAGGTTAACTGACATCATGATTAAGATTGATGTTATCAACAATAATGAATGATCGTCGTGGAGTATCATAAATTCATCGAGGTTGACACATAACTCAGTAATCTCAAGCTAAATGATCTAAAGTTACTATATTCACCGGCAAACCTAAAAGTACTCCGGTTACATTACATATGCATTTGTGAATGTTCACTGTAGAGATGTACCAAACGTTTTTATATTTCTTAGCATTTATTGGCTAACATCAGTCAGTGAAAAAGGTTTACCTCCAAACAATTAAATAGTTCGGTCCTGTTTCTTAATACTTCATGGCTCATGAAATTTTTTTTCATTTCAATACATAGTATTATAGTATTTAGGGAGTATATCTTCGACCTATCTACGTAGTTACCATCCAACATATTTTGGGTTACATCACAAACTGATTTTTGGTAGGCCACTGATTCTTAGTATCGGACTCCACGTCAACACACATCCACTACCGTATTAGGAGTCCGATACACTTTCTTCGTGGCTCAATATAATAAGTTGACATTTTAATCAGTGAATCAATGTCCGGTGGTTCGCACATTATTTGTTAATTATTACTGTGCAGAGTTAGCATTTTTATAAAAATTCAAGAAGTGATTACTCTATAGTAAAGTGCTTAATACCTGTATTTTTTTTAACATAAAACAGCCAAGCACTGTTTTACTTCACGCTTCTATGATACTTTATATCCCATGATATTTTAACAAATTCAGTCAACAGCGTGCTCGATTAGAAAATTAAGCTGTTTAATTACTGTGATAAGGTAAGAGTCAGTCAAATGATATATCGATAGACTTAATGTTTTTTATCTTGTTCTTACTCACTATTATTTGTTCTATTTGTTTCTAACAATTCGAGAAGCCTTATTTATCAAATTACGAGATTATCTGGTCTAGTAACATGTACATTAAGAGTTTATTATTGTCAAACTTGATACACTTTGCAACATTTGGTGGGACTATAATTTATGAAATACCTTTGAGTGACACTAGATTGACCTTGAGAGTGTCTGCTACTAAATGAGGGTTATAAACCTGTGTGAGGAATTATAATTATGATTTACAGTTGATGATTATGATTAGAAATTGTATTTAGGCTTCTCATCACAAACTGACATCAGTTATAATGCCAAAACTTTATTTATCCAAATGGATGAGTGAATTTCACACTAAAACCCAAGACTTATTATCTTATACATGATTTGTTTCATCCATAAATTATAGTCGTACCATTCATGACATTTTATATTAATAGTTAATGTTTCATATCATCTAAGTTTACTTGTATACTTACTCAAAATGTTTTGCTGCATGTTTAATACATTCATTAGTTAATTGATTTGCTTCATAATTATTTACATTATTATTTTGTCTCATGAATATTAAACAATTATTTTCATTTAAACTTGTTTTCAAATAGTTAATACATGCATCTTGAATAAATTGTATGTTTAATAAAACACCAACATTGTACAATTCAATTACAGTTAAATCATCAATTGTAATCTCTGGATAATGAAACATATTTAAAAAAGGTAAAGAAGTATCAGTGTAAACAATCGAAATATATTAAAGAGAAGTGTAGAATTTATTAAAATTTTATCAAAGGATCATAATTTGATTCTACTGGGAAAGTGTTTTATTACTGATTTTCAATGGTATTTCACTTGAGATTATTCAGGAATATGGAAAGCTTAATGAAATAACTTTTTGTGGTTGGTTTTTTCTTCAGAATAACTAGTTTTTGAATATGTAAAATCGTGAAGATGGATAGTGGCTAGTAGTGGAATCCAGGATGAGGGTTTCGTGCTATTTTGGATTCGTTAGTTGGATGTACCAGGGAAGATACAAGTAAACAACACCAGGTGAATGCAAGATTGTGTTTTACAATTTTTTTAATAACATTCAGTCGAACTAGTTAATAATCAAACATAATGTCTTAACACATACACAGAAAAAGTAATATGACTTCTTTTTGAAAGCTGTAAGAACCGATGTCAGTGGAAATTACACAAAATGATACTCTATCAGAAAATTTACACATTACTTACACCTTTGCAATGAACTAACATAACTACCAATAAAAAACAGCACATCTAAATCTGTGTATCTCTAATCTAGCGTAAATTAGCAATTCATTAAGTAGAACTTTTTTTTAAAACGACAATACAAGATCAAGTGAGCAATAATTGTTTTGAAAAAGAAATCATGAATCACTAAGTTTTTCAAGGGGGTCAACTGACTATAAATATATACACTTGTGGTTTTCGCTTATGTTAAAAGTAATGTGTTCACAAACGAATATGTTGAACTATTTCAATGGAAAATAGAAGTTTGAAAACATCTAAAGATTCTGTCAGTAATAGTGGCAACAATAACATACTAATACATCAACCACAAAAACACTAATACTCTACCTATTTTTGACATCCTGGAGTACGAAAAAATCCTTTACAAAATAAAATACTCACTTTAAGGTGTCCTCATAATACTAGGATTATTAATCTTCTTTCAAGAATTATGCAGCTACTCAGTTACGTTGATCTTGTTGGCGGTAGTTATCAGATCAATGAACTAGCTAAGATGTTTTGCTTGGTCTTTTTTCCTGCATATGACATATATGACCTATGTTTCTATCAAGAAATCTGTTTATAGCTCATATTACAGATGTTAAACTCCATCTACCTATTTTCTTTACTTTATTCTAGCTAACATTTGAATTGTGAACTATGTAACTAATGAGATTGACGACTTGAGGAGTAGGTTTACAAATATCATGCCATTTAAATAAGTATATTAGATCAACATCTCGTATTATATTTTAATATCTGTTTAATTACATCAAAGTTATGAAGTAAACTATTAAATTTTCTCAATAAAAATACATAAAGTGAGATAATAGATTTTTATTTGTAGACATCATTAAACAAAAGATAAATCACACTATACTTAAATGGATAACATTTTGTAACAATATAAAGACGTTTCTCCGTTTTTATTCAACTAATAGTAATTGGAAGTTGTGTCATATCATGTCCAATAAATGCTGAAACTGAGACACTGAAAACCTCATTTCGTAAAATCTCTACTCATCAGATTTAGCATCTTATGATATTGTTTCTTTATTTCTGGATCACAAAACTTTCATGTAGAGAGTGATACAGATGTAGTGAGACGACGAGAAGACATGAGACATAAGGCATCTGAAGAACATAACTTCTAAAGACTTCCAGAGATGAGTTGAATAACATCTGATTGTCATAAGTAGGTAGTATTGTAAATAAATATCTGGTTAATATGAATTACATTTCAGAAAATGAACATTCAATGATCTCACGTAGCCTGTACTCTTTCTACATTGGAATTCCTTAAAAGTAAGTATAACACAGATTAACTAAATTTACTACTTTCCATTATTATTTATCAATAATATAACGAAATGAAACATCATACTGGCAAATTTGAATGCAATCGTTTTTAAAAAGGACAATTATAAACTCATACTTCATACTTATTGTGTATTTAATAACAACTGAAGTTTGTCTTGTCGTGAGAGCTGATGAAATTCTATCCACAATATGTTGCAATGTATCCACTAGAGTAAATGAAATTATGTTACTCTTTACTTTATTTGATACTACGTAGTCAATAGAAATCTCTGTATTTATGGTTAATACTATTTAGTACTAATCAGTAAAACATATTTACATTCTTCAGAGAACTGATGTCAAATTGCGATTGCTAAAAATAGAATGGTAGACAGTTATTTTAACTGTTGTTATAGCTACAGAGCCTTTCGGAATTATATCTAAAATCATAACCTAAAAAGTAATGAAGTTACCTTGTGAATTTCTGGATATTAATACAATGAAAAACATTGAAGAGGAACTTATCCTACAACTACATTCAAATTGTTTTCACTGTGAATAAAAAAAATCAACCAGTAGAATCTTGGATTTCTTTTAACTAAACTCAAATGTACTGAATAGAATCATCATATTGATTATTCATTTGAATCGATACCTCTATCACTCAGAAACTTAGTAACTCCTTGAAAATATCACATGCACAACAATCTCATTATAAAACACATCTTCTAAGCTATTAAAGACAATCTAATAACTTAAAATTGTTTCTTCAATACATTAACTTATTACATCATCATAGTCTTCACAATTTAAAAAAAAAAGAAAAACTCAGTCACATTCTGACTATACAGAAGAATATTTTCAATACATTTTATTGATTGGCAGTGCTTATGTTTTTCACAATAATCAATAATCAATATTATCAACAACCATTTTTGAAAGAAGAAAAAAAAACACAGACAAACCTGATTGATAAATATATTTTACAAAAGTATCCAATGTTTTCGCAGATATACGACCTAAATAAAATGAATTCTTTGATTGTTTTACTGTGTTACTAACGTGATTATTATTATTATTATTATTATTATTAATGTTATCATAACAATTTATATTAATATTATCAGTTGAACATTCTACATTTTCTTCTTCTGCCATACAGAATTGATCAATTTTTGTTGAGACAGCACGTAATACACATTTATGCACTATTTGATTATGTGATTCACATTCTAATAAAAAACCACAATCATTTTGTTTAGTTCTAAAATAGTAAAACAAAGAATAATTGTACATATAATCATATTAATAACATTTTATTATAGCGAATTGTTTGAAAGATATTGAGATATACTGAGACATAATATCAGTACGAGAAACATGCCATTTCTATGATTATATATATACATACTTGAATGACATGCGTATACTCAGTGATAAATTCTTATTTCACATCTCAATGTTATTCATATCACATTCAATGATATTGAAATAAAATCAGATATTGATTGGCACATTAAGGTGAAATCAATTTCCATTTTATGAAATTATTTAAGAAATTAACAAAGTGAAAATTAATTTACAGACAAAATGTATTATTTGAGTATAGTTCACCTTAGAATAAGAAGATTTTCCAGAATTTAAGTTTTCAATGTAATAGAGTTCATTTACAAACACGAATGCTTTTACTCGATAAACATAATATCATAGAGTGTCGTTGATGTAAATAAAATTTTGTATTTTAAACATTATATTAATCTTTATAAACAAAGGTAGATGACGGCTAGCAGTAGAATCTCGAAAGCACGTTTCGTACTATTCTAAGCTCGTCATCTGGATCTACCTGCATCTCAGAGTTAATGTTCACTCTGAGATTCGAACCCAGTACCGTTCGCTTCAATTTTAGAATGCAGGCACATCCAGCTGACGAGTCACAAGTAGGATAAAACACGAGTCCAGGATTCTACTGCTAGACACCATTCATCTTTGCTTATAAAACTTGTGACTTAAGGCAATGTCGACGCAATCCGCACAGGATACACACATGCCGATGAGTGACTGATCAATTGCAGTCCTAAACAACAACAATATAAAATTAAGTTAAAAATCAGAACGGACCGATGTCAGTTGATGAATAAACCCACCATCACATCGTGAAGATTGAAATATATAAGAGATCGAAAATCAATAAGTCACTGAGTAATTTTAGTTATATACTAATGCAGACTGTCTTTATTTTATTGACATCTCATCATTGAGTTGAATTTAATGTAAATGAAAATGATTCTGTTAAAATTTACCAAGTGATAAATCTGTAAATATTGCGACCATGATTGACTGGTAGTTGTGTCAAATTTTAGACAAACGTCTTTACATAGAAATGTTATATTACCCCTTCTTGATAACGATAGTGTTAATCAATCTTGAAAGGAGTATATTGATGGGTAAAATGAACATATTATTTGTCTATATTAACTAGTGTATTCATTTAAGAGTCAGTAGAATTAAAAGAGATCCTTAAAGATTTTTTAACGAAAGTAAATACACATCTCAAAAAATTAAAAACTGGGATTAATACCCAATTAAACTCATAATGTATTAAGATATCTGAATTTGCAGGTTTATTTTATTCTAGATGACATTGAAAAAAATCTAAAGATTGTTTAGTAAAATATTCTATCTTCAACGTCAAACATACATGTAATAATCTCTTGGATAAAGACTTCGGTACATCCACGGTAAGCTAGTTCGCTTATACATGTCATTAATTTTGTTATCATTCTTTAGTACTAAATGGTGTACTGTAGAAAAAAATTCGCTTTAAGTAAGTCACTTGGGTGAGACTATAATTTATGGACGATCCAATCAGATTTAGGATAACAGATCTTAAATTTTGGTGCGAAATTCATTTAACCATTTGGCCAAATAGCGTATTGGCATTTTAGCTGATGTCAAATCGTGATGAAAACCCTAAATTTAATTTCTAACCCTAACCATCAAATGTAAATCATGATCCTTATTCTTCAAACTATTTTATAACCCGCATTCGGTCCTAATTAGTGGGAGGAAATGATCAAGGTCATTTTAGCACCGCTCAAAGACCGTCCATAAATTATAGTCTCACCATTCCTTGTCTAAAAATTAAGAGAAAGCACCGACTCTCAAAATGAAAAATATTTAAATATTTTCGGTCACCAATTCAAATTTGTTTAACTTTTATTGATAGGCTAAAAAAGGGAATCATCTTATTAATTCCTAAAAAAAAAAGAAATAAATAACTAACCTTTGCTGTTGATGTAATTTTTGACAAATATCAAATGGACCCATTGAATTTACAAATTTTCCTTTCATTTCTACCATTGTATTTGTTTATATACATCAGAAAGACGCATACACATATGTGATAATGATACACAGTGAAGTGTTTTATGATACAACAATAATTTAAATTGACAATACTTCAAGTTTTAATTCCGAATATAAATGCTTCTTTAATAAATATAAAATAAACATCTTTATTATTTATTCACTAATACACAAAATATTATTCAATATACATAATTTTTCGAAACGTGAAATCAAGCCTACCAATATGTTTTATACAATTTAGTGTAGAATGATCTATGCACACAGACATACATATGAAAGTAAAATCACCTGGTTCATTGAAAGTATCACATGATTTTCACGTTTATATAGTGCTTAAAATAATTGTCACTAGCATGGTTACAAACAGATTGTTTAATATAGATCAATAAATTTTATTTAGACTTTAAACCAATAAGCATACTTTCTTGAATAGAAATGTTTATGAAGTAGCAGATTTTGTAAATTTGAGTACGTTATAGAGATTACTTTAATGTGATTATATCGTTCGGTTATATCGTCAGAGAATGATATCAACTTGTGAAGTGTTGAAAACCAGGGGATACTAAATTACTTGTCAGTTGCAGTTTGAGACTCCTCATCTGTTCTCAATCACGATGATGCCGTCAACAAAATCGAATAATTTCGAAAGTGAAAAAGCTATTACGTATGAAAATTGGTGTGGTTATACAAATTGAAGTTGTACTTAGTTGTCTAGAGGTAACCCACTTGATACTTTCTAGTACCATTCATAATATCGATACTTCCACTGCTCCTATACTTTTCTTGATAACTGCATCTCGTTGTGCTGATATGCTGTGGCAACTCAAATCCATGCATATGTTCTAGGTTCTACATTGCTTATGGTTGTATCACTGAGAAAATTCTGGGTTCGATCTCTAGCGTGTCTGTTGGTTAGCACTGTTAATACGTTCTAAACAAGAACAAAAGTACTGTCGAGTGTCTCTGGTCTTCACTCGTCCCCTAGATTATTTCAGTCCTTTATGAATAAGCAATCTATGGAAAGTAGAATTTTATTAAATGAATGATTTGAACGAGTATATCATTAGGGATCCTGAAAGTATTATATTCAGCATTAATAACGACAGATATGCAATAATAGACCCCTGAGGTTTTGAGTGACAACATCAGATGCTTATGTGATCACTTATTAAACCGGATATTCATCAGATACTAAGCCTGTCTTCTTGTTATCTACTGTCTATTATTTAGTTATAGAAAGTAATGTAGACAAGATTCATCTTCCAAAAGGCTAAAAATATGATTCAAGCAAAACCGGTAAGTAACCTCGACTTAAATTTAGTTTATGTACACCACAAATAATTTAACTTTAGGATATTACTATGTTAAGTTTCTCCTGAAATACATAATTGTATTCACAATATCTTGCAATATTTTGCAAATAAACCTTTATGACCATTCACTGAAAAGAATTATTTGAATGAACTACAACGTTTGATAAACCTTTCATTAAACCATATACAGAGAAACATTTTTACTAAAAGACCATAATGGAATAAGATATAAATCCAAGCTAATTGGACATACAAAATGTCAAAATATTTTTCAGTTATGGTAATATTACGTAACACAGTGTTACTTCTGCTCCAAATCCTTATTTATGTATTCTTTACCTTTGTACTTATTTTGATATTGCTCTTTTGGTAAAATCATTTAGTACTTCTATGCAAAAATATTAGAAATATTGTTTTTCAATCCCGGTCTCAATGCACTAGGTATTTTGTCTTGTTTTGTTTTTTAAAATGGAAATTATTGTTTTACTCATTTACCCAATTTTGGTCTTTGTATTTTTTTTTAAAAGAAAAAAGAATGAATTTATTATACAATTAAAATATCTACATATTCTCAACTCCCTTCGCTAAAAAGCAAACTATACTCGATCTCATTTACAAATGATCTCCGGTTACAACTGTAATGAACTTTGTTTATTTTCTAGGATATGAAAAATTGAAATCAAATTATCAAATGTGTATCAATAATGAATTATTTTTCAGATGGAAATGCTCTTGAAACTTTTGTTTTCTATATGGGTTTGGGGTTGTAAGCAGCGAGACTATCAGTTGTAGGAGTTTACTTTGGAGGTAGCGTCATGAGTGATTGAAGTTAATAAATCCATGAATAAAACCAGGTAGTTGTTCAATATTTCTTATTTTAATGATGATTGGATTGAGGTAAAATTGTTATGATTTCTGGCCTGTTAATTATGACGTGTCTAATTCGCCAATTAGAACACGACTGATATGACCTTGGTACTGTACCAAACCAAGGATGCGTTGTTCAGTAAGAGCCGCCTGGTGTCGACTCTAAGCCCTTATTAGTTCTTCCTGCCCAGTCCTGTCCGTTAGAGTCCAGAAAAATATCTCAGCATCCATTGTATGAATCGTATATTCCAGACATACGTAGTTTATATACAAGCAAACCAGTCTGTAACTAATACATTGCGAATAACTGAAAAATAGTAAATCGTATAATAGTAGCCAATAGGTCAAATAAAAGCTTATGATAAATGGAATATAGATATATATAATCTGGTTACTTAACAAGCAAATATAAATAGTGGTTAACAGTGGAAACAAGGGCGCGCGTTCCGTCCCATTTGGGACTCGTCAGCTAGATGCGCCAAATCAATTGCAGTCCTAAATATCAATGGGAAGATACAAGTAAACAATGCCATGTGTAGCTACTTGACAGTTATTTAATAACTGCTTATGCCTGTTACTCCTCGTGTAGGAGCATAAGACGTCCATCAGGATCCTCCAACATACTCTGTCATCGGCTGTCCTTCCCAGTTGTTCCCAGTTGCCATCCATTCTATTGATGGCTGCCTCCGATTCTCGATGCAACGTGTTCCTCGGTCTCCCTTCTTTCCTCTTCCAGTCAGCATTCCATATTATGGATCAGCTTGTGAACGAGTTTCGTGATTTCTGCAAAGTATGTTCTATTTTCTCTTCAGTTAGAAGCTGATTTGTTCTCTACAACAGTGGACTGTTGCTGATTGTATGCGGTCAATGGATATTGAGTATCTTGCGTAGACAATTGTTTATCAACACCTGTACATGTTTGATGATGGTTGTTGTAGTTCTGTAATTTTCAGCTCTGTACAGTAGGACTGTCTTGGCGTTTGTATCGAAGATTCTGGCTTCTACGTTGGCCGATAGTTGTTTTGAGTTCTATATGTTCTTCTCTCGTATGAATGCTGTCCTCATGCCTTAACATCTGTATCCGATCATCCTTGTTCATCAATGATGATAGCCAGATACGTGGAAGCTTCCACCTCTTCCAGAGCTTCTCCATCAAGTATGATTGAGTTGGTGTTCTCCGTGTTGTATTTGATGATCTTGCCTTTTCCCTTGTGTATGTTGACTCCCACTGCTGCCGAGGCTGCTGTTACACTGACTATCTTCACCTGCATTTGTTGTTGTGTTTGGTATAGAAGAGTTGCGTTATCTGCGAAGTTCAAGTCGTCTAGCCACATCTAAGCTGTTGATTGTATCCCTTGCTTCGCCTCACATGTCGAGGTCTCTATAATCTGATCGACCACAAGAAGAAATAGAAGAGTAAATAATAAGCAGCTCTGTCTGACACCGGTCTTTACTTGGGATGCATCTATGAGCTGTCGTCCACACAAAACGTCGCAGTATAGGCTTTTGTATGAATTACGTATTATAGTGACAACATTCTCATTCACACCATAGTGTTGAAGCAGGTTCCATAAGATTTTCAAATCCACACTGTTAAACGTCTTCTCATAGTTGAGGAAGTTGATGCATAGTGTGGAGTTTCAATAAATGCTGTCCTCATGCCTTAACATCTGTATCCGATCATCCTTGTTCATCAATGATGATAGCCAGATACGTGGAAGCTTCCACCTCTTCCAGAGCTTCTCCATCAAGTATGATTGAGTTGGTGTTCTCCGTGTTGTATTTGATGATCTTGCTTTTTCTCTTGTGTATGTTGCGGCCTACTGATACAGAGGCTTCTTCCCTACTGGTCTTCTTCACCTGCATTTGTTACTGTGTATAAGATAAAAGAGCTAGATCATCTGCGAAATCCAAACCGTCTAGTTGCAAGTTATATAATTAAGACAAAACTATATAAACAATAAATCGAATTGAGCTTTAAATGTAAGTACTAAACCTTTGAATTCATCATTTTAAATAGATTGTATCAGGCAACATTTGTAACTTAACAATATTAAGGATGATGATAGCTGATTCTATAAATAATTGTTAAATGCACATCAATTTACAGATATGATCAGGTTAATATAAATGGAGAGGGATTATCTAGAAAATATAAGGTTTCATTGTTTTTAAGGACATGATTCATAAATTATTTTTAATGAGCATTTATCACAAAGATTTTAATATTGTAGAATATAAAATCGAAGTTAAATTCATAATCTAAGGTGCAACAAATTCAGAGCACAGCATTATTTTCGAAATGTATAACGTGATTTTCATCAATCTTTTAAGTGAAAAGTTCTCTTTAATAAATAGTGTATGAAAAAAAATAAGTAATTAAGTGAACGGCATCACTACAGCGCTACCTGCATTTTGTAAAATGATAGATGCCGCATAAACCTTAATGAATTAAATAGTTTGTTAGATAGTGAAATTGTTTTTTGTCTCGCAACACTGTTATGAACAGCATTACTTTGGGGTTATTATTACTCTCTAGGCCTGATAAGATTTAGGTAGTGGTAGTTGCTTTTTGGGGAAAAAAGAATTTATTGAGATATCATCCGATTAAGGTGTATCGTGGTTATGATATTATACAAAGTGACATATTTGGTTTTCCCACTGTTGACAGCCACAAGATGCAAGATATTTGGACCAGTGTTCTTTTCGTTGGAGGACTGAAGTGTCATTTCTTTAGACATAAAATAATTGGTGATTTCATGGTGAAAATAAAGTAGATATCACGGAAGAACAGGAACAAGTAATCACTGT